GTTGATTGTCACATGTTTCACAATTGGCCAATAATAACGTGTTATTCAATTTCATGTGACGACCAATCACGAGAAAGATTTCAACGTGAGATCCGGAATAGACCCGGACCCAGACTCGGACTCGAACCGGGTGTGGATTTCGGGCGGGTCCTCTGTTTGCGGAACACTTACGTTTAACCGTTTAATTTGGCCGGCATTAAAATAATTCCAGATCACGATCAACATAATTCCGCCCGGGACTATGGAGCAACTTTTAAACGGTTAAACGGTTCCTATAAGTCTAGCATCACCACCCTAAAAAATTTCGCTGACTATGTGGGCTAGGTGCTGGGAAAAGGGACCAAATTGCCATTTTTTTCAAAAGTAATTTTTTATATAAATTAATTTAGAATAAGATTAGGATCATTTTTTACTTAAGATACATAAGTAGTTATACTGTATTAATAAAATTTTACAGTATATCTCTTTAAAGTTTATATTTTCTTATAACTAAAAAAACTGATTCGTGATTAGTTTAGGGTTAGGGTCCCACCAGTAGGTTAATGTTTGTTTCGAGGGTTATAGCTATAGTAAAATTTCACGAGGAATTTTTTTTGTTAGTATGCAGAATAGCCAAAATTTTTTTGCACTTCTTTCCGTTACACAAGATCTTGAAATCTGGTTGGCCAGCGAAATTAATTAGGGTGGTGATTTAACTGCTGTTAACGGTTCCAATCCCCAAATTTTGGATTTTGGATAGAATGCAAGATCTGGTGTAACGTAGCACGATCAAGGAAGTTCAAAACAGTCGTTTTGTCAAAAATCGTCTATAACTCAAGATTTTGCCTTTGAAACTACCTCTTGCGTTCTAATTAAAAAAAAATCCTTGCAAAATTTTAGGTTAAGAACTTATTATTCTAAACCCACATTCAATCCAAGTCTAATACTAACCCGTATGATTTATTGTTTGATTTTACGTTACACATGATCTTATGAGTGGCGATAAATCGCATAGGCGATAAAAAATATTTTTTTTCAAGATTCTTTTATTAATAGTTTTAAAAAAACTACACGAACCGCGAACCGCGAACCGCGGATATATATAAGGTAATATATCATAGATGTCTAGGTTGTTTTCACGGATTTATCTGTGAAAATTACATCTGGTTTATGATACAGTAACTAAATAATTGCTGATTGATTGGATGTATTTATTCGTGACTCTTTAACCAGAAGTTGAAGATAATAGAAGCGCTTCGGGCCACAACTTGCGGCATTACTAGTTAGGTATTGGAACCTACGGTAAATGGCTTGTTGTGAACGTCTATTTCTTCTTTTAATGGTTTTAGAGGTTACTACAACGGTTCAGATTTTGATTTCATGTTCGCGGGACCGACTAATTAAGACAATTATTTCTGGTAATTCCTTCTTAAAAGGGTCGGGTGAACAGGAATATCGGTATTAATCGTTGTTGGTGGTGAACGAATGCATAAAATCAAGCAACTGGAAGCTCTTCGCGGCCACAGTTACTGTGAACGTCCTTGTTTGGTTTTTCAATTATAATGCAATTTTTATTATTATTATTTTTTTTATACCGGTATAAATAGGATAAAATACAATTACGAAATACGCAAGTAATACGCAAGACCGATCAAGATCGACGAATTTCTAGAGGAACGACGAATTTAAATTGAACTTATTTTACATAAAAAACAAATAAGTTAGTACTTTTTGATTTTATTTTATTTTTTTTTGTTTTTTCAATTATTTACAATTGATGTAATTTAATAAATCTATTAGAGATCGTTTAATAAAGAAAATAAAAGTATAAAACAATAAACGTAAAGTTTCAAAAATATGGTTAAAAAATCACAATAAATCAACATTGCCGTTTATTACTCAAGCAATTATTATCATTGTTATAAAGATTACGAAAAATCTTAAGTTACTGATTATTAATCATATTATATAGTTAATCATTCTTGTATTCATGCCAATTTTATTTATAACGAAGGAAATGGTTTTAGATTATCAATTCAAATTTTGTACCAGTTCGAAAATGGTTATTGATATATCTTCCAAGAGCGTAAATTAAGTGAAACAAATCACTTTCTACTAAAAATAGCTTTAATAATAAAAATCTAATTGTTTTGCAAAACAATTTTGAGGCAATTCCGATTTTTCATCATTTATTGCGGTTTGCAAAATTGTGAAATTTGAAAAAATTTTATTATTTTTTTTTTTTTTAGAAATAAAAGTTGCATACGTATTCATCATTTTGTAATATCGATATATTTTGCAAAAATAGGTGTTGCCATTAAAATATCCAATCAAATTTTTACAAATGATAAATGCGCAAATTTTGTCTAGCCTAAAAATCGATCTTCAAATTTCACATAATTTTGCAACCGCATAAATGTTGTAGGCTAAAAAAGAAATCACTCGATTGTTAGATGATTATGCTATTCCTATATGATAATTTCATATTTGGATATCGTAGTCTTTATTTAAGAAATCATAAGTCACCTAACAACCAAGTGATTTCTTTTTTTTTCGATCTACAAAATTCACAAAATTTGCAAGCCGCAATAAATTTACGAAATTGTCAACAGTTGTATTGTATCTTGGGTGTTACTTTTAAAAAGTCACGTACTATACTCAGAATTATTTATTATTAAAATAAAGAAAAAACATACATCTATTTTCTAAATTTTCTAAAGTGTTTTTTTCCTGCAAAAATGTTTGTAAAATTATTATAGTAATAATGATTTTAAAATCACTTCCTGATTTAAAAATAAGATTAATTTATTCCTTTGCTTAGTAAATGCTAGACACACAAATCACAGACCATATAATATTCATGGAATACGGCTTTTAAACAACGTATAGCGATCAATATTGTCCAGGGTAATAACTTGCTTTTGTTTACCTAAAACATTATCTCTAGGATCGTCGAGAATCTGTCTGCTTAATTGCTATAAACAAGAAATTGATTAATGTTCATTTTTATCTAGAGTAAATGGACCGATAAAAATAAGTACTTACCTCCTTTTCCTTTTTGACGTGAGAGTCCAATTCTTCTGTTCTAGCACGTTCTTCGGCTTCACGACGTTCCATGTCCGCATATCGTCGGTGGGCAAACCCGAGAATATTAATTCCAACTAATAATTTTATGAAAATTAATCTATAACCATTAAACAAAAGCGATGAATTATTAGAATTTGATAAAATTGGAACAGAATTAGACTATAAAAAAATATAATAAATAATAAAATGTACATCACAAATACGGCAATGCCACAAAAGATCCATACACCACTAGGTTGTGTGAAAACATATGCAAAAGCCAAATTTGATCGTTCTTCAGTATCCATTTCTTGAATTGAATCTGAAATCATCGTCACAGTTTGTGACGAAACTCGAATTGTCTATGTAACATATTGAATTGATTACTACAGAGGCACTAAAATGTAAAAATTAATAAAGCATATTTAATTGAAGCTTACTAGGCATGCAAGAGGGAGTGCAGCGAAACCGATCCGGCGTGAGACCATCAAGGACTGATCAAAAAATTTATAAGCATAAGAATAATAAAAAAATTATAAATCTAAATCAATAATCACAATTAAAAGCATTCATTTTACCTTTTGATTTTCAGTGTTCTGTTTATCATTATTCCCAACCACCAAATCTCTTGAGAGTATGTCGATAAAACGATCATAAATGCTTGGTCTGATATGATTAAATTTAGTGATAAAGGCGTGCTTTAGCCAGTCAACCAATAATTCAGACGCAAACACTATAATCACTGGGGTCAAAAGTGTTTCGACAGTTGTCATTGCGGGAAATAAAGGAATGAATGATGTTGGCAGAATAGAAAAAGGAGATGACGGAGAACCAGAAAGTTCGATCAGATTGCGCACTGTGATGACAGTTAGAAAAAGAGCGAGTTGGAACCGCTCTACAATGTCTGCAATATTATAAAATAATGAACACTTATTAAATGTAAACTAGACTGTCAATATACAATTAATGTAAACTTGCCAGAACAACTCAATTGGAATAAATTTTCTTTCTCAAAACGTTTAAAAACTGATCCCTTTATTTCAATAAATTGGTTTGATAACAACAGTGTGAGTAATGCATTCGAGTACGAATTAATCGCCACGTTAAGGGTAATCGCAAGATAGAACAAAATTATCGTGTGAGCCACTGTAAAAATTTCAATATATAATTAAGGAAATATATAAATAGAATAATTATAAACAGTCTATTTTCTATTAATTTTTAAAAAGATACAGATATAGCAATAAGCTGCACAGAAATGACTGATGGGTCGCAAATGTCTACCGGAATAAGGCACTGATCTTTTATCACCAAGCGTAGACTTTGAAAACAGAGAACTTAGGATGTCATCTCCAAACGCGCAACAAAGCTTATCGAAGATCTAAATTATTTTAAAATAATAATTATAAGACATTGAAATAAATTGTAAATCAAGATTATTAATTACTGATTAGCTAGGGTTGTTGATGGAGTACTCTGAACTTTAGTCTTGAACTGGAGTGTTTTTATGTTTATAATTTGAAGTACTCCATTAACAATCCCATTATTAGCACAAATATCTTACTTCAAGAACGTTGAAGATAACATATAATTTGATTACAGACTGACCACGAATTGAATGATACATCTGTGCTGCATCAACGTTTTGTAGTGAAATGCAAACGAGAATGATTAAAACCCCTTTAAGCAAATCACATTTTTGTGATATATTAAGGTGGATAAATCTTCAAAAATTTACAGTCAGTAATCGTTACAAAAAATCAATTTTAATTATAAGAAAAAGGAAGTACCTTTTCTCTTCATGCCTAAAATTTAATATGAACTTGACAGTTACAGTATACAATACTAGCAATACGCGTAAAGGAAGGATCGTAAATGTATATAAGAATGAGTCCATACAGATGAAAAACCCAAACGCCATAAGCTAATATAGTAAAAAAAAAAGAGGACTTTTGTTAAAAATCATGCGCAATTAATCATTAATGAATAGTTTAACAAACCTTTTCGATAGCCCAAGGGATTCCAAAGAAATTGATCACCCTTTCTCGTTTAAGTTCTTCAAAGGAATCAAAATCAGACGCCAATAATTCATCCTTAAAATGATTCCATAAAGTAAGGAAAGGGTCATTCGACGATGTAGTCGACTCTGAGGACATTGAATTCATAGGAAGACTTTCATATGATTGGCTGATTCGAATCAATTACTTTGGGTAACTAATTATATTAACGTTCGTACTTTTTAGGAATGTGATGCCTTAAATGCAAAAATTAGTAGTCAACGTCAAGTGGAACCAGTGATTTCTAAATATAGAATTCCTTACGCACAGTTTTATATTTTAGATTTACGCGTTGTTTTTCTTTTTCGTTCATACCTTCTTTAACAATAATTCACAATGTAGTATTGAAAATAGGTGAGTATGGGTGCTTTGAAATTTTATTAGTTTAAAACAAAAGAAATAAAAAAAAAAAAAAACTTTGAAAAAATTGAGCTATGCCCCGGAAAGAAAACTCTAGGAGTTTAACAAAGATTTGTTGGAAGCTGAGTTCACCAATTATGATGCAAATAGTTTGGACTAGAAGAGTATTTTTTGTTGAGTTGTCATGTATTCGAAATTAGAAATTCTAAATTTGGTCTGCAAAACCTATATATTTTCGTATAATTATATATATTAACAAAAAAAGGTTTTTTAATTACAGAAAGTCAAACATACTACGATAGAAATACCACCTAGATATCCAACTTTTGGAATGCGTTATGCTACTAAAACTAATGCACAATCTCAATTAAACATTCCGCAACACACATTTAATCACTTTTAATGAAAATGAGATACCGTATATTACCGAATAGAAGCTACCAAAATTTTGAGAGTTTTTTCGGACTAAAAAGAGGGAGTAGCTTCTATT